GGAGGGGGGACAGCAGAGCTTTGGGGTGTTTATTTTGGGGGGGATTTGAGGTGTTTGAGGCTCCGCCCTGAAGGAGCAGCAGCAAAATTTGCGGGGGATTTGGGGTGTTTGGGGCTGTGCCCTGTAAGAGGGGCTCAGCCCTGGGGGGCTGCCATGAGGTTTTTGAGGAATTTGGGGTGTTTGGGGCTATGCCCTGAATCAGCAGGGGCAGAGTTTTGGGGTGTTTATTTGAGGAGATTTGGGGTCTTTGAGGCTGCAGCCCCAGGGACACACAGAGACTTTTGGGGGCGTTATTTGAGGGGTGTTTCGGGGTCCAGCCCTGAGCACAGAGCAGGTTTGGGGTATTTGAGGAGGATTTAGGGTGTTTGGGGGCACAGCCCCAGGGATTGGGGTGTTTCAGGAGATTTGGGGGCACAACCCTGGGCACACACACAGAGATTCAGGGTGTTTATTTCATGATTTGGAGGGTACAGCCCCAGAGGATTGAGGTGTTTGAGGAGGATTTAGTATGTTTGTGGGCACACTCACAGAGGCTCAGGCTGTGTTTTGGGGGAGCACAGCCTTGGGCAAACAGAGGTTCAGGGTGAATTAGGGGGTTTTTGGGCACAATCTCAGGCACATGCAGCACAGAGGCTTGTGCTGTTTTTTGGGGGGTTTTGGGGCTGTTTTTTGGGCACAGCCTCGGGCACATGCACAGAGGCTCTGGCTGTTTCTTGTGGGATTTTGGGGGGCAAAGCCCTGGGCACAAATAGCGAGATTCAGGGTGATTCAGGGAATTCACACTCACAGAGACTCGAGCTGCTCCTCGGGCTGTTCCTCAGGGTGTTATGGGGCTGTGTGTGGGCAGTTCCTCAGGGGGTTTGGACTGTTGCTCCTCGGTGTGTTTTGGGGTTGTGTGTGGGCTGTTCCTCGGGGGCTTTCAGGGCTGTTCCTTGGCCTGTTCCTCACGCTGTTTTGGTGCTGTGTGTGGGCTGTTTCTCGAGGGCTTTGGGGCTGTTCCTCACGGTGTTTTGAGGCTGCGTGTGGGCTGTTCCTTGAGCTGTTCCTTGGGGGTTCTGGTGCTCACGGCGGCGCTGTCCGGCGCAGGCGGGTCGCGATGGTGAAGCTGTTCATCGGGAACCTGCCGCGGGAGGCGACGGAGCAGGAGATCCGCTCCCTGTTCGAGCAGTACGGGAAGGTGCTGGAGTGCGACATCATCAAGAACTACGGCTTCGTGCACATCGAGGACAGGACGGCGGCCGAGGACGCCATCCGCAACCTGCACCACCACAAGCTGCACGGCGTCTGCATCAATGTGGAGGCCAGCAAGAACAAGAGCAAGGCCTCCACCAAGCTGCACGTGGGCAACATCAGCCCCGCCTGCACCAACCTAGAGCTGCGCGCCAAGTTCGAGGAGTACGGCCCCGTCATCGAATGTGACATCGTCAAGGACTACGCCTTCGTGCACATGGAGCGGGCCGAGGATGCCGTGGAGGCCATCCGGGGGCTGGACAACACCGAGTTCCAAGGTGAGCTGTGGGGAGGTTGTGATCTGGGAGGATTTTTGCTGATTTTTGGTGTTGCCGGCCCCACTCTGTGATTGGTGCTGTGTTTGGAGCCTCTTCTCGTCCTAGAGTGCCAGAATTTGGCTCTGGGGATGGTGGCAGGTGCTGTCCCCATGCCCTTGTCCAGTGTCAGGGCTGGGGACACTGTGGTGGCTCCATGTTGGGGCAGAGTGGCTCCACAGCACTGGAGTTTGTAGGAATTCTGGGAGATTTACCCAAAACTGGTTGGTCAGGCTGAGCTCTGCCTCTGAGGCCACCTCATGAGATTGGTGGGGTCCCTTTGCTGCTGGAATTTGGAGGAAAACGGGGCTGGGAGCCAACGCTGTGTCCCATTGACTCCCGTTGTCCCATTGGCTCCCATTGTCCCCAAGTCCTGCCTGGAACCACAGGGACCCCCCTTGTCTGCGGGGCCTGGTGCCCACCCTGGTGGCTCCTGTCACCTCCCACCCTCAGCAGTGCCAGGGGTGGCTCTCGGGGGTCCCCATGGCTGCTGCCACCTCTTGGGGGTCCCTTGGTGCTGGTGCCGTTTCTGGGGATCCTATGGACCACCAGCCCCAACCCACCATGGTCTCAAATGTTCTGATCCTTGATATCATTTAATCTTGGTGTGATAATTAAATAATTTAATGACAAAACAATGGCTGGAGTTTGTGCCTCTGACAGGGACCCCAAACAAAGCAGCTCCTGGGCTTTCATCTCCTCGGGCTGTGCGCAGGAAGGTCTGGGGGTTGTCACCTCCTCCATGTCCCCAAATGTCCCTCACCTGGGTGGGCCACAGGTGGCTCTTAGGGGTCCCCAAGGGGTGGTGGCGGTTCTGGGGAACCCCACAGTGCCAGGGTGATTCTGGGGGTCACCAACGGTGCCAGGGTGACACTGAGGGGACCCACACAGAGTGCCAGTGCCAGGGATGGTCCTTGGGGACATCACAGTGCGGTGCCAGCCCTGTGTGACCCCGCAGTGCCAGAGCAGGGGGCGGCTCTGGGGGTCTCTGTGCCTGGTGCTGGTGTGAGCGCAGTTCTGGGGGATCCCA